TGAGACCGAGCACGAGTAGCTACTGAATTTGGATTTTAAACAAAGTTGCCAATGTGTTTGGCGTATGAGAGACGTGCATCTCGCAATGCTAGATTGCTCGAGACCAAGCACCAGTCACTACTGAATTGGGATTTTAAATACATTTCCTAATGTGTTTGGCGTATGAGAGAGGTGCATCTAGCAATGCCGGCATGATCAGTGTTTGCGACCGAGCACGGGTAGCTATTGCATTTGGATATTCAACAAAATTGCCAATGTGTTTGGCGTATGAGAGAGGTGCATTTCGCAATGCATGATAACTTGCAACCGAGCACTATTCGTTACTGAATTTGGTTTTAAGGTACCGTGACCAATGTGTTTGGCGTATCAGCAATGTGCATCTTCCAATGCAGGTGTGCTTGCAACCCAGCATGACTGATTAGCTCAGTGCATTTGGATTTAAGGCAATGTGGCCAATGACAATGTGTTTGGCGTATACGAAAGGTGCATCTCGCAATTGTATGATTGCTTGTTACCGAGCACGAGTAGCTACTGAATTTGGCTTTAAGGCAAAGTGGCCAATGAGTTTGGCGTATGGGCGAAGGGCATCTCGCAATTGTATGATTGCTTGTGACCGAGTAAGAGTCGCTACTGACTTAGGATTGGAAAAAACAGTTTCAGGGTTTCGCGAATGAGAGGCTTGCATTTTACAATACATGATTGCTTGGGACGAACCATGGCAGCCATTGAGTTGGAATTTGGAAATCATTTGTCAATGAGTTTAGTGCATGCGCGGGAGCGGCGTCTTGCAGTACGGAATTTGTTTAGTGGTCCGTTGCTCATATGTTTGGGCAAGCAGAGCAATGCATCTCCCAATAGACCCAATCCATGATTGCTTGGGATTGAGCACGAACATTGCAAATGCAAGAGATGCATCTCGCAATACATGATTGCTTGAGACCGAGCGCACGCGTTTACTGCATTTGGATTAGACAGACAAGGGCCAATGTTTTGGCGATTCAGAACAGTATACCTTCCTTGCCATACGCGAATCACCCAATTCTTGGGCAATATAGGTTTTCGAGTGTGTATGAAATTACTGATCTTGTGTTTGCGCTCGTTCGCTGGTTTTCGTTTGCATTTCTTGGGTTCTTTTTTCTTTCTTGGCTGGTGGGGGTCAACTTTCCCAGGGCTATCTAAAGCTCTTTGTGTTCGACTCTAGCAGTTGTGCCGGGACTGTTGCCCTTTTCTGGTCCTTCCGGGGGGTGCTTTGGGGATTTACTTCTCTGTTCATCTTTTCTCTCGCCACTCGCTAAACTTTGTTCCGTTAGCAGCTTCTGAGCGTCTTAAGAAGCGAGTCATTGGGTGGAAGTTTCTCCCGGGGACAAGACCTGTGGCATCAGTTCCGGGTTATTCTCTGCGTTTATTGTCGCTTGACCATGCTAGTCCACCTATCGCTTTTCACTTGCATTTTTTTTTCATACTGTCCATTGCCGGTTTGTTTGCTTAATCGATTATAGTTTGGTTTGTGTGTGTGGCACATGCGAATCGGCGGGGTTGTAGGGTTTATGAGAATGGCGGCTTGGGTATATGAGAATGGGAGTTTGGGTATATGAGAATGGGGGTTTGGTATATGAGAATGGGGGTTTGGGTATATGAGAATGGGGGGTTTGGGGGGAGAGGTAGTGTTGGGAGCGAGTAGTAACTGAACTGCCGAGGAATTCATTTCCGTGCTTCATTTGGAAACAATGGACCTTCCTTTTCCCCAATGCTTAATCAGTGATCCGTGGCGGGATGGCCATTTGGATATTTTACTATTCAAAATGGCCAAACACGCCGCGGAAGCTGATTAACTAATGAATTTGAGTAATTAACGTTGTTTTATGAATAAATAATGATGTACAATGCATAAAATCCTAGTTTACAGGTTGTAACTGCTCTTTCTGTGCTGACCGCCAAGACAGAGAAAGTGCAAGATAAAGAAATTAGGACCGGAGAAGGGGGGGGAAGGAGGGGGCTGCGTCAGGGTGTTGTTTACTCTTGTGTGTTGTAAAAACGATACCACGTCAGTAATCGATACCGATACCGCTGTTTGTGGTATCGCTGGTATCGAATACTGAGTACTCGGTATCGCCCATCACTAAATTATTTTATTTTACTATCTGGTTGATGACATGATTTAATATATATATTTCCATGGAATTCAAGTTGGCTTTTTCCCAAGTTTATGTGAAATATGGTTCATCTGTTAAAATAATAAAATGTTTATTAGTTGTTTTGTAACAGAACAGTACAGGAAAGAGAAAATCGAAATAACAGTTGTACTGTATATGGAAAACAGAATAAAATCTTTCTAAGCATTTCTACTGTTATCATAATTTTATTAACTGATGAGATCATATGAAGTCTTTCTGTATGTTAAAAACTGTGATTTCTGAAGAAGTCTTAATCTCTGCATGTGTGAAATGAAGTCTTTCTGTATGTGTGAAACTGTGTTAGAAAACGTGATTTCCGAGACTCCGAGAAAATGCGAAAGCAACATGTGAAAATAAATCGAATAAATTCAGTATAGATGTACAGTACATACCTTGATATACAGAACAATCAATCAATATCATTTCATATTCCATGCAACACTATCAGTGTTTATTCTGTCTTGAAGCCGAATAGCATCTGATATATACGAGGGTTGCCAGAGCGAACAAAACGATGTCACAAATATGAGCGCCATACTCCGACAAATTGATACAATATGATGATGAATGTTGCATAGTTTTGTGTACATGTGTGTTCACAGCT